TTGGAGGACAAGAACTCGGGACCCCACTCCTCAGTGAGCCTCCAGAGAAAAGCAGTCAATCACTGCCGTCTCTCCGGTCTCCAGCCACACTCCATGCTCACCCGGCCTGTGACCGAGCATTTCTATCTCTGGTACAGGACGCTGTTTGGAGTCCCAAACCCCGCAGATTCCTGTGGTGCAATCCCACGCCACTCCTCTTCAGGAAGGAAAGGCAGTCTCCCCAGCTCTGCCGCTTGTTGGGTCCCTGCTGGAAGAGTAGTGGCCTAATTGTGCCGCGGATCACGGTTTATGGCAACCCTGAGCTGAGATCCCACGCCTTGGCTCCGTCTTTGCAGTCAGCTTCCCTGCTCTGATACCTGGGAGCTCTGCCGCACTCAGGCACCCTTGGTCTTTCTGTGACCCTGAGGGTCCTAAGACCACACTGTCCCAGCAACGGTTCCACCCCCTGCTTAGCCACTGCAGCAACATCCCTCAGTGGAGCAGACTTCTAAAAGTTACAGTTTTGTACTCCACTGCTCTATCACTTGCCGGTAGCCGGCTCCCTCCCACCATGGTCTGTCTTCCCAGGTATCACCTCGGATTCACTTCTCCACACGTCCTACCTTCCAGAAAGTGGTCGCTCTTCTGTTCATAGAATTGCGGCTATTCTTTTCTTCGATCTCCTGTTGAATTTGTAGGTGTTGAGAATGGTTTGATACCTATCTAGCTGAATTCCTGGGACCAGACAAAATTTAGGTCTCCTACTCCGCCATTTTGCTCTCCTCCGAAGGCATCCATTTCTTCCAGGGTCCTCAATATTAGGATATAGCTGTTGGTAATAATTTCTAATAATTGTTTCTATTTCCTTTGTGTTAGTCATGATCTCTCCCCTTCATTCATAATTTTATATAGTTTGGGTCCTTTCTCTTTTCTTTTGGATAAGTCTGACCAGTGGTTTATCGATCTTATGGGAGATCTTTTTTCAAAGAATCAGCTTCTAGTTTCGTTCATCTGATCTACTTTGTCTCTGCTTTCTAATTCATTGATCTCTGCTCTAATCTTAATTATTTCTTTTCTAATGTGTTGCTTAGGCATCGTTTGTTGTTTTTTCTCCAGTTCTTTAAGATGTAAAGTTAGTTGATGAATTCGGGATTTTTCTGGTTTTTTGAGTGAGGCTGGGATGGCTATGTATTTTCCTCTTAAGACCACCTTTGCAATATGCCATAGGTTTTGGACAGATGTGTTTTCGTTCTCATTGGTTTCCATGAATTGTTTAAGTTCTTTGATTTCCTGTTTGACCCGAACATTCTTGAGCAGAGTGATCTTTAGCTTCCAAGTATTTGAATTTCTTCCAAATTTTTTCTTGTGATTTGAGTTCCAGTTTCAAAGCATTATGGTCTGAGAATATGCAGGGAATAGTCTCAGTCTTTTGGTATCGGTTGAGACCTGATTTGTGGCCCAGTATGTGGTCTATTCTGGAGAAGGTTCCATGTGTGCCCAAGAAGAATGAGTATTCTGTTGTTTTGGGGTGGAATGTTCTGTATATATCTATGAGGTCCATCTGGTCCATTGTGTCATTCAAAGCTCTTGTTTCTTTGTTGATTTTCTGCTTAGGTGATCTGTCCATTGCTGAGAGTGGAGTATTGAGGTCTACAATTAACGTATTGTTATCAATATGACTCTTTATTTTGGTTAACAGTTGACTTATGTAGATGGCTGCTCCCATGTTGGGGGCATAGATATTGACAATTGTTAGATCCTCTCGTTGGATAGACCCTTTAAGAATGATATAGTGTCCTTCTCTGTCTCTAACTACCGTCTTTAACTTAAAATCTAATTTGTCTGATACGAGAATTGCTACTCCAGCTTTCTTTTGATGTCCGTTGGCATGGAAGATGGATCTCCATCCCTTCACTTTCAGTCTGAATGTATCTTCAGGTTCAAAATGAGTCTCCTGTAGACAGTATATGGATGGGTTCTGTCTTTTTATCCAATCTGCAACCCTCTGCCTTTTTATGGGAACACTTATGCCATTCACCTTCCTAGTGATTATTGAAAGATATGAATTTATTATCATCATGTTGCCTGTGAAGTCCTTGTTTCTATAGATTGTCTCTGTAAATTTCTATTCTATATCACTCTTGGGATCTCTCTCCTTTTATAGAATGCCCCTTAATATTTCTTGCAGGGCTGTCTTAATGGTCACATGTTCTTTCAGTTTCTGCTGGTCATGGAAGCTCTGCATCTCTCCATCCATTCTCAATGACAGCCTTGCCGGATAAAGTATTCTTGGCTGCATGTTCTTCTCATTTAATACCCTGAATATGTCTTGCCAGCCCTTTCTGGCTTGCCAGGTGTCTGTGGATAGGTATGACGTTGTTCTGATGTTCCTCCCTGTGTACGTAAGGAATCTCTTCCCCCTAACTGCCCTTAAGGTGGTTTCCTCGGTTCTAAAGATTTGTGAGTTTTACTATTACATGCTGGGGCTTTGGTCTGTTTTCCTTGATCTTGGGAGGGGTCCTCTCTGCCTCTAGGACACGAATGTTTGTTTCATTCCCCAGATTAGGGAAGTTCTCAGCTACGATTTGCTCAAATATATTTTCTAGTCCTCTCTCTCTCTCCACCCCCTCAGGGATCCCAACAATTCTGTCATTGGAATGTTTCATGGTGTCACTTATTTCTCTAATTCTGTGTTCATGGATTTTAAGCTGTTTCTCCCAGGCCTCCTCTTTTTCCTTTTCTATCAATTTGTCTTCTAGATCACTAATTCGTTCTTCTGCCTTGTTTACCCTAGCTGTTAGAGTATCTACATTAGATTGGATCTCATTGATAGCATTTTTTAAGTTCTGCCAGTTCAGCTTTCATTTCTGCCCTTAGGGACTTTATGTTGCCATTAATCTATTTCTCCATTCTATCTCTCGTCTTTATAACTGAAGTTCATTTCCAACATCTTGCTTATATCTGTATCCATTTGTAAATCTGTGGCAAAAGTCACAGTCTCTGAGTCGTTCCTATTTTGGGGGGTCCTCCTAGTCATTCTGTTGAGGGGTGGTTGAAGTAATATACAGAGTTCAAATTACTCACCACAACCCAAGCAAGATGCACCTGTTCTATAGGGGCCTTAGTATTGTCGGCCTCTTGTTCTCCCAGCCTGTGTTCCAGGGGAGGGACCTGTCATGCAGTTACTCAGGCAATCCTGTTTGGGCAGGTGGGGGGGGAATTGGGCTCAGTGAAAACCGGCTTTTTGGGGCTTTTGTTGTCTGTTGGCTTTCCCTGGTGGCTTTCCACGTCTCTTCCGAGAGTCAGAACAGAAGAGACCGTTTCCAGCCCTCTGCCTTAGAAGAGAGAGATCGCAGTCTGTTCTTCAGTGAGCTCTCCAGGCCAAGCCATCTCCGTTTCTTTCTGTGCTGCTAAAAACAGCAGCGTCGTGAGTTGTGTGCCCCTCAGCGGTGCTCCCAGCTCTCCCTTCCAAGTCCAGGCACGTCTTTGCCCTTCTAAAACCACCAGCCACCCCCAGTTCTCACATGTGGCCCCACCACTCCAGGTTTCAGTCCAGGGGGCTGCCCTAAAGTCCTTTCCCCACCTCTACCGGTCTGTGAGTCTGTGCCCCATCCCCAGCACCAGAGGCTTTCATGCACTGATGGTGCAGGATCCCGAAGGCTCCCTCCGTCTTCCATTTATCTTCCAATATCTGCCCGCGGAATCACAGCTCCCCGGATCATACCTCGAAACCAACTGCCTGCAATATTCTGTTTGTAGAGATTCAGATATATCTTCTTACATCTCATTTTGATTTTGTGGGTGATCAGAGTGGTCTGGTAGATATCCAGCTCAGTTCAGGGGATCGGTTGGAATAAGTTCCCCTACTCCTCTGCCATCTTTTCCTCTCCTTCCTTGCCAATATATCTTTAGCATGGATTCCAAAACATAATTCAAAAGGTAAATGCGTTTGTAATTTTGCCAGCTTTCACCGCATCCTTTATTTGGGGGCTATAATTTTTTGCATTTCCTCGGCAGTGTACAAGAGTGCCTATTTCATCACAGTCTTGCCAGTAGAGTATATTGTGATTTTTTCCAATTTTATAGGTGAGAAAGAATTTCTCAGTGTTGCTTTAATTTATATTTCTCTTATTACAAATGAAATAGAGCATATAGTCATATATTTAAAGCTCATTTGCATTTATTTTCAGTAAACTATCTGCTGGCCCGTTTTTATAATCAGATTTTGCTCTTTTTCTTTTCCTCTAACTCCTTTTAGCTTTCTCTAAGAGCTTTAAGGCTGTGCATCTCTGCTGTGCTTGCTATCAGGAAGCTCCTCAAAAGAATTTAAATCTAAGATAGTGCCCAAATAAATATTACAGAAGCCCATGTAGCATTTAATAGTGTCCTGAGCCTTAAAATTTTATGACTGAATTACCTTCTAAATCGAACATTTTTGCCCTGGTTAATATTTAACTACTGAGTATCAGGATTTTAGAACTGGAAAAGGATTTTAATGATCCTTGAGTCTTAACCTCATATTTTTGTAGGTGAGGAAACTAACTCTGTATTCTTGGTTTATAGACAAAATCTTACAGATGATCATTCAACTATCTTATATTCCAGATGAGAATATAAAGGGTCAGATGAATATATCTCTGTATAGGAGATAGGAATGGCAGTTTGTTACTAGGAAGAGACTAGAATTTTTAAATTGTAACTCCTGAGTTTCAAATTCTGGACCTGTGATCATCTTCAGACCTGAGACTATCCCAAATCCTTCCAGATGCTTTCTAAAGAAATCAGATTTGAAAGTAAATGAAAACAGTTCTTAATGCCTAAATTTGGCATGAAGATTTCTGGGGACGAGTACAATAATATGGTTCATGTACAAATGCTTCCTGTATTTCATGGTTTTTATATATAATAATCTTTAAAATTATTTATAGTCATTGGTGTTTATTTTGCTTGTTATGTGGGTAGGCACTCGTAAAATATTTGTTCAAAGCAGGGATGTTCATATAATTTTCTTTTTTTCTTAGGAGTTCATGTGTCACACAATTAGCCCTTTTGGAAAGGGTGTACAGAATGTTCAAGAGGGACGACCTACTTTCAAATGTTACTCGCCAAGCATTTGTAGATCGCTCCCTTCTCACCCTTTTGTGGCATTGTAGCCTGAGTGCTTTGAGAGAGTTCTTCAGCAAAATTGTGGTGGATGCCGTTGATGTGTTGAAGTCTAGATTTACAAAGGTATTGTACATCTATTATTAAATTTAATATTACTAAGAATTGACAAATCTCCTTGATCGGTGTCCTTAAAAATTGCAGTGTGTTCACTCAGAGGATCTTTAGTGCTCAAGGAGTGTTACCTCAACAGTTTGATAACAATCTGTAGTTACATGGGTTCTGCATTAGGTTCCTGAGGGTGCTGTAAGAAATTACCACCAATGTGGCTTAGAACATCAGAAGTTTATTCTTTTAGTTCTGCAGGCCAGAAATCAGCATCCTTGGGCTTCAGTCAAGGTGTTGCAAGGCTCCAGAGGCCCGAGCGGCAAATCCGTGGTTTGCCTCTTCCCGCTTTTGGTGGCTGCCAGCATTCCTTGGCTTGTGGCCCGATCACTCCTCTCTTTGCTTCTATGGTCACATTGCTCCTCCTCTTCTAATTGCTCTCTGCCTCCCTCTTATAAATATATGATTGCATTTAGGACCCACTTAGATAATCTCCCCATCTCTTTACTTGATTTTATCTGTATAATCCTTTTTTATCATATAAGATAACATTCACGGTTCCAGTGATTAGAACATGGGTATTTGTAAGGGGATATTATTCAGCTGAATACAGTCCACCTGCACCAAATATTCCCACTTGCAAAATACATTTATCCCATCCCAATATCCCCCAAAGTCTAAATGCATTACCTCATCAACTTTTAAGTCCAAAATTGTGTCTGAATATCATCAGTTCAGAGTCCTAACTTTCATCATTTAAATCATAATGAATCAGATATGGGTGGGATTCTGGGTGTGATCTGTCATGGGGCAAAGTTCTTTCCATTTGTGGACCTATGAAACTAGAAGACAAATAATGTGTTTCCAGAAGACAGTGGTTCAACAGGTGGGATGACTATTATATTCATTCCTGTTCCAAAAAGGAGAAAATGAAGTAAAAAAGAAGTTAGTGTTCCATAGCACTTTCAAGGTCCAGGCAGGCAAATTCTGTTAGGTTTCGAGACCCGGGAATAATGCTTTGTTGCTTAATGTTCTGCCCTCTGGACCAAAGTCTCCATTCTTGGAGTCATTCTTCTTTTTTCTTGAAGGGTAGCATATATTGCAGCTGAGTAGTTTTATCAATCTGTTTCTTGCCTGTAGGATTCAGGGAGTACAAGAGCCTTTTTTTTTTTTTTTCCCATTTCATTTTGTCTCTGTCCCTTTCAGTCCAAGCTGGTGGTGTTCCTTCTGGTATGATGTTCTCAAAAACTATAAATCTCTCCTATTTGTGTCTTGGAGGTTTACTCCATTAGATAAGAGAGTCCTCCACAGATCTTTGATGGATAATGGCATCTCTGTTCCTGGTTCTGCTGAAATGGTTGAGGGCATCCATGAGTACCATGCTTAATTTCTTCAGCACTAGCTCAAGATTGTCCAGCCACATCCTTGTTCTCTCCAGAGCCACTTTTCTAACAGTGAATCTCCTAATGTTAGCATCTTTTACCGTCTGGGTAAGCTGAGAATTTCTCAAGTCATCACATTTTGGTTCCTTTTGCTCAGTAGTTCTTAACTTTATGTCTTGTACCTCACATTGTATTATAAGCAGCAAAGAATTGGAAGCAGGCAGCACCTTCAACAAATTTGCTTGGAAATTTTCTCAGCTAAATATTCAAGTACATGGCTTACAAGTTCTGTTTTGTGTGTAACTGTAGAACACTTACTCAGCTAAGTTTTCTGCCACTGTAAAACAAGGATCCTCTTTCCTCCAGTTTCCAAAAATACGTTATTTCCTTTTGAGACCTCACTGGCAACTACTTTAACCTCCAATTTCTACCAAAAATGTGTTTATGATGATTGAGATGTTTTGTAAGACAGTTTTAGCTTTTTTTGCCATGCTTTTCATTTCCTTCTGAGCCCTCACCACCAGTGCCTTCAGTGTTGGTATTTCTACTAGCAGTCACTATAGGCAGTTGGCTTTTTCTGTCTTGCATGGGAAATTTCTTTTAGCCTCTACCTATCATCTGTTTGTTAGAGCAGATCCAACTCTTGATACCAGAATGTGTATTAGTTTCCTGAATCTTCAGTAACAAATTACCATAAGCTTGGTGGCTTAGAACACCAGAAATTTATTCTTTCCCAGTTTTGGAGGCCAGAAGTCCAAAATTACTTTCACTGAGCTGAATTTATGGTTTTGTCATGGCTACACTTGCCCCAGCGGCCCTGAATATCCACTCCTTGCCTCCTCCAGCTTCTGGTGGCTACTGGCATTCCTCAGTATGTGGCTACATCATTCTGGCCTCTACTTCTGTCATCACATTGCCTTTTCCTGTATGTCTCATCCCTCTCTCTGTCCTCTTACAAGATTACATGTGGTTTCATTTATGGCCCACGGGAACAACCCAGAATTGTCTTCTTATCTCAAGATCCTTAATCACATTCGAAAAGTCCTTTCCTGCCTTATGAGATTGCATTCACAGGTTCTAGGGATTAGGATGTGGTATCTTTTAGAAACTACTGTAAATAGTTGAACATTTTGTTTTTTAATACATTGAAGTTTCACCTGCTGTTGTCATGCCTTCGATAAGATTTTCTGCAAAAGCCCTATACTCGTGTCCTAAGTTTACTATTTGGACATTGTACATTACTTCCTGCCACACTCAATATAACACATAAATATTTAGACCTATGTTCCTGACCTTGGGTCATCTCCTATTGAAGTGATTCAATATCTATGTTAAAACTACATTCTATGTAAAGAGCATTGAATATTAAATATATTTAATTGAATATTCAATATATTCAATAAACTATTTTTCATGTTTGGTAAGACCAAAGATAATCATCTGTTACCTTTTCTTAGCTAAATGAATCTATCTTTGATACTCAAATCACCAAGAAGATGGGCTATTATAAAATGCTAGATGTGATGTATTCTCGTCTTTCAAAAGAGGATGTTCACTCGAAAGAATCTAAAATTAATCAAGTTTTCAACGGCTCATGTGTTACAGAAGGAAATGAACTTACAAAGACACTTATTAAGTAAGGTTTTAGTTAACTTTGTTATTTGATTTGTATTTGATTTGTTGTATTTGATTCGTTAATATTTTTGATGCATATATTTTTATGCTTGCATATAATGTGAATAAATGGTTAAGTTTGTTTAAATACCAGTTTTTATAGTTTTCTTGGTTTTTTTCTTAGGTACAAACTACTTAGACTTTAATGTAGCAGGTTATTGGGTAGCATGTTTATCCTATACTCATCTTTTACAAGGAGTAAAACTTTTTTCTGTTGTTATTGTTTTTTTCCTACCATTTTCTCCCCTTAATAGCTTGATATATTTTTAATGGTATGATTTACAATATGAGGTATTTTATTTTTCCTGACTGTAATTTGAAGTGAAAGGAATGGCAGTATGTTCAAGCAGGTATTCTATAAAATACAAAGTAATCGAATACATTTTCTCTAAAACTGGCCTTCTAATGAAGTTCCCTCTTAGTGAATATTGAATGCACAAATTGCCATATCTCATTTTGCATATCCCAAACAAGCTTATCCTTACTTTCCTCTTACCCTAATTCTTATTTTATATCCTCTGGGAATGACATCACCATCCATTCATTTGCACCAACGAGAGCCCTGTTTTATTTTTCCTTCTTCATCTCTCCAGTCTCCATGCATACCCTGTCAGTCACCAAATCTAGTGGATTTTATCTCCTCAGCCTTCCCAAGACTGGGGCCCTTCTTTCATCTTCCTTCCTTCATACAGTGTTGTAGCACCTGGTGTTCTTTGGTGAACCACTGCAGTGCAGTCTCCTTCGTAGTTATTCTCCCCACTCCTGGGCTTGTCTCTCTCAGTTTTTCCATATTACTGCTAGTATGATAATACCTCTGCAGTATGAACCTGATTGTTTCATTCTCCTACCTAAAACATTTCAGACTACCTAAAACACTTTATTTTTTTATTTATTTATTTTTTTTTAAAGATTTTATTTATTCGAGACAGAGAGAATGAGAGAGAGAGAGC